AGAAGGATGCCAGTTAAAGACAAGAGGTATGAAAGGATTTTTTAAATTAATATCACCAATATGACTTGGCACACCCACAGACTATTCAAGCCAATACTTCAAGGCAAACAAAGTTTTAGTGTAGCCAGAAAAACAGTGAGGGAAAGCCTCGCGGGCTTCAACAGATTATCTGTGCCGCTAAAAATTATATCTATGGAAAGGAGGGACAATTGAACAAAAAAAAAAAAAAAAGATAAAAGCAACTTACTCTTTCAGTAGCAGATGAACTTTGTGACTGAAATACAATTGAAAGTTGTTTACATTGTAAAAATAAACTGTCGACATAATACACTGAATGTGCTGCATGGAAATGAAAATTCATAGGCGCCACTCAACACCATAAGCGCCAAAATGCTGTGTACATTTCAAAGGCTGATTCTTTTCTGGGTCCTCCCTGGAAAGCCTTCATGTGACCCGGATTATAAAAGGTTTATCTGGATAACTTGTTTGCAGAGTAATATAGAGTTTTCGGATAATTAAGGAATATGAACAGCATTGTTTCCTTTAGGTGTTGTATTATTGGATACAACGCTGAATAAATAACCTCAGATTAAAAACAGGTCATTTTTTAATAATAAAAGCTGGATGTATTTATGAATGAATAGATTACCTAAAAAAATGAACAACAGTGTTTTAAGCAGCATGTGAGATCCAGCTAGTTTTCTGACTTTAGGCAATTTTTTTTTTCAATCCTGTCAATAGTCAAAATGAACCACTGCTGACAATTTATGTGGATTTCCATCGCTCTGCTTAGGTGAAGGCTTACCTTTGGTTTGATGGGTTTCAGTACGGGGATGTCTGTTCCCTCAGCTCTTTGTCTGCTGGAGTCAAAAACCTTCCTCTTTTTAGTTGCTGATTTTTGGCAGATTTTTGAGTGCTTCTCCTGTTGGAGGAGGACAATGTGCACAAAACATGACAAAACATTTTTATTTGTTTTTAACACCACTGGCATCACTTAAGATTTGTATCTGTCTTTTACTATAATTTAAGTTTTCAACTATGTTTTCCTAAATGAATTTCTTGAAAGAGGAGGAAACTTTCTTTCAAACATTTCAAGCTCAAATTTAAATGAGTAACATTAACAACACCAGTAACCTCCTCAAAGCTGCAGCCAACTCTCTGAAGCACACTAATGTCTTCCTGATGGAGACCCAAACCTATATTGCTATACATATCTAGAATAATACACCATGCTTTAATGCAGCCATTATCTACTAATGAGGCAAAGTGCTTGCATAAGAGCACATATTTGGTTGTTTACCAGAAGATTCTCTTCAAATTAAACACCAAAAACCTTTATAGCTTTGATGTATTAACTCTGTAGTATGTTTTAGTCATTTCAACACAATAAGCAAAGGAACAGAGGATTTTGGGGGAGTAAAAATCAACTCATATACACTCATTAGCGACTCTGTTAGGTACACATTAGTACCAGGTTGAACCCACTCTGCTGGAAGCATAATAACATGCCATGTTATAATCAGAATATCAGAACATGTCATGTTATCAGTAGATGGGTACACTGTGGTAATAAAGATCAGGAACAACACTCAGGTAGACGGCTGTATCAAAACTATGCTATCCTCCACACCATTACCAGCAACCTGAACTGCTGACACAAGGCAGGATTGATCCATGCTTTCATGCTGTTTACATCAAATTATGAGCCTGCCATCCAAACAATGCATCAAAAACTGGTGAGACCAGACAACACTTTTTTGCAAATTGTAGCCTTAGTTTCCTGTTCTCAGTTGATAAGTGTGGCACCTGGTGTGGTCTTCTGCTGTTGCAGCCCATATCTGAATGTGCTTGTGCTCTGAACACAGAAGAGCATTCAGAGATGCTCTTCTGTGTGCCTTTGTTGTAACAAGCAGCTATTTTAGTTACTGATGCCTTCCTATCCGGTTGAAGCAGCTGGGCCTTTCCCCTTTGATATGTGACATCAACGAGACATTTTGACCCAGATAACTGCCACTCTGTGAATATTTTCTTTTTTTCTGTCGATTCTCTGTAAGCCCAAGAGATGGTTATATGAGAAAATCCCAGTAGATCAGCAGTTTCCGAAATACACAGATGTGTCTATCTGTCACCCATAACCATGACTCAAAACCACAGTCTTTTCGCCTATGATGATGATAATAATAATAATAATAATAATAATAATAATAATAATAGATTGCATTTATATAGCGCTATGACACCACCCTTACCTGCATGTGCTGCAGACAGTGCTGAGAGTACTGTATTGCTGAACATGTGTGAAGCCATCCTTTCTAAACAATCTCCATTCACTGATTTAGACAATCAAGTGAAAGAAAATGCTTCACATGATACAGTCCAGTTGATACTTGTGCTGCAATTCATCTATATATAAAAAATGGCCCACTATGAAATTAATTAAATAATTAATTAATGACCAATATTTCCAACTCTGCTTTATGGGAGAGCAGTACTACTAGAGACGTTTCTTAGTGAAATTTTTAAATCAGAGTCTTGAATATCACAAATTTGTTCAAACAAAAAGCATTTCTGCTTTGATAAAACTTTCAACTCCCCTACAGAGCTCTTCACAGGATCCTGCTAGCTATCTGGATCATAGACACATTATTATTGAACAAACAGCTGATACCCTGTCAGCTGAGAATTAATGTGGTAAATACTGTCAGCCAGGCGGGTTAATCATAGTGCGTGATCAACACACCCCCAAACAAACACTTAAAGTGTCTGCGATTAAAATATTGTCCTCTTAAAACAGTGTTACACATTGTTTTGTTTTGTTTGTTTGTTGTATTAAGAAATGTCAGAAATGAGCAAGAGGTGGTTTGTTTTTTTTTACCAGGACTTTGGGGAAGAAAGATCTTTTACAGATATTACACTGAATCCGATCGTCAACCAGAGAAGCTTCGCCATCTGCAAGAATAACAGAACAAATTCGGTGAAGGTTTAAAGGTCAAAAATGGGCCACAACGGGACTAAACAAACACGGGAAGAAAAATAATGACCCAGTTAACATTTGATACAAGGTAAATACTTTCGCGGTCATAAATTGTGTTCTTCTGCCACAGTAAAGGCAACAATGTTTTATTGTTGCCTTTACTGCTCATTCTACACGGATACTTCAAATTTCCTGAAAACGGCTGGAGGAAAATAGTCAGATTTAGCTAAGTTTAACGTACAGAGTCAAACACTTCGAAGTATTATTGTACACATAGAAACGTATTTAATATTAAAGGTAAGCAGTCTCCGAAGATTCATTGATATACACGCTTTAAACCATTCATTTAAAAAGTGTTATTTGTTAGGAGTTTTCTGGTTGGCCGGCTAGCTCCTCTAGCTAGGAATCGCACCCATTCAGAGAGGAGGAGCAGCTAGCTTCATCTTTGGCCCTGACGTTACCTAGCATTACTTGGGCTAAAACCCAAACAAAAAGGAGGTCGCTATACAAAACTGTTCATCTAAAGCAGCCGCGAACCCCAAAGCGTCCCCTTGGCAGATAAAACCGAAATGCTGAAATCCCAAATTTGCCATAAAAGGCTGAAGTAAACACACAAACAGCAATATCGCATACCTTCAAATTCTTCCATCCTTAGGTTATTCCTTATCTGGTCCTGTTGCCGTTGTTCGAAAACGGCCAGACGTAGACGGAAAATACAAGATGAAACCCCCTCTTCATTTCCGGCTTTGCTAAAACGGGAGAAATGTTTTGTTTTTACCCATTTATCCTGTAAGGAAAATTACTTTAATTTCCATATAAATTTATTCTGCAGTGTATTGTGAATTACTGATGTCCTGTGTAGATCTACATTTTTGGTTTGTCATTTTTTTGTGTTTTGTTTGTTTCTCTGTGACTTATGTCGACACTACTGGGACGTTATTATCCTGTTCCAATTCCCAATGGCAGGTAATTATCTTGACACTACTGATCTTTGGCTACCGATAGCAACTGGGTTGTCCGATGCCGCTCGGTGAGCTAACATGCGAGTATTTCATTGGTTATTACTGCACTGTTTCTGATGGAGTGTTCAAGTATGCACTGTTTATTTTGGACAGCAGGTGGAGCGTGGGAGGGAACCTCTGTCATGTTTCCCAGTATTACTCCTAACCATCAATTTTTGGGGGAGTTTGCGTAGCTCAGTTTTCGCTGGAAACTAGCAAATGTTGCTGTTACTGGGACGAAATCTTTTTTTTTTATTTTAGCTATAGAAATAAATCAAAAATGAAATGCTATTAGTTATTAGTGCTGTTATTGATACAAAGTTATGTTAATGAATAAACGGGCTGGTAGCTTTACCTTGCATCTCAGCTTTGTTTGGGGATGGTCATTTACAGAAACTCATTATATCAACCAAACAACAAAACTAGTGTGCTCCTTTGCTGCTTTTGTTAGCTCAAACACTTGCGCAGAACAAACACTCGGAAGTTCCTCATTTGCCATACTGACAACATGTGTCATCTGAATGGAGGGATTCATGGACAGATGCTAAGAGGGCACAGCAAACATGTGCCTTTATCACAAGAGGGACGTTGTTTCAACACTGACTCGCTTTTGTGTGATCTCTCGCACCACACACACGCCCAAGCGTGATGCCTTTTCACCATTTCAAATTATAGCAATGGGATGATAACCATTCGCTAAGTCCTAATGTATCCTAACCTTTAAATAAGGGAATGATTTTACACACACATTCACGGTTAAACAATGCACTTGGCATTAAAGTTTATGGCTCTCACTTTGTCAGATATTAATTAATTAATGTGGTGCAAGTATTCCTATTAGTAATCCTATATGTGTATTTATTTATTTATATGTATATTTATCTATCTAATAAAATAAAGGAGTATAGGTAAAGTAGCTGGTAATGAAAAACTTTTCTGTTAAGCGTCCCTTCAAAGTAATGCGGTTTTATTCTGAAAGTAATACTCGGAAGTAGCTTTGGTGTGCTTGATTTGCTTGACGTTGGTAAATTCTCTTTCATGAGCGTATTGGGGAATACCGAAATGGCAAGATCCGAGCCGATGTGATTGACCCCTGCGAATATTCGGAAGCCATTTATTCCAAACAGGTAGCATACCTTGTTGATCATATTAAGAATAATAACTGCAGGTGCAAAGTGCGCAAAGCTCGTAAATGCATGTGTAATGTTAATATCATGCAGGCTACGTTTACTGACACTGACCTGGCTCTGTGGGGGTCTTTGTCATCAAAGACAGACGTATGGATCTTGGTTTTAATAATGAATTTAAACATTCAGATTCTCCTGCAACCTTAAGCTCGTCTGTATTTAAAGGTTATATGTCTTCAACAAAAAAGAAAAGAAAAAAACTAGCGCTTTATTATTTAGGACGCCAATGCGCGTGACTGCATCGCTTTAGTAGGTGATAAATTGTCATTTTGGACAAATAGTCTTTGTGGAGTGACGTCACACTCGTGCAGACTCGCGATGAACTTTTAAATAAATCACTTAGCTAAGATTGCCTTAAATGTGTACGAGCTGTAGAAATAACAGTAAAACATTTGCACGCTCTTACAGGGAGGGTGTTGACAGCTGCGCGTGAATCCGTGGTTAAGGAGAAATTGTTTACTTTTGCGCTTGGCACGGTGATGTTGGAGTATAGCATGTCTGTTTGTGTGAGACCTGGCATCAGTCCCAGGTATGCCCAGGCCACCTAGAATAACTCTGGCATAAGTTTCTGGGACTCGTTTATGTACTGCCTTTATCACTGCTAATATTCTGTTTGGCAGCATAACAAATCAAACAGCTGCAAAGCAGGAGTAGACTCCCCCCCCCCCAAAAAAAACCAAAAACTTCATAGTGAAAGACAGAGACGGTTGGCCTGTTGTATTATTCAGCAATTTGATCATTTTTTGGAGTCTGTGCTATATATATTGTTGTCCAGGCCAGCTGAGCTCTGCTTCCCACATGGGAGTACACACACTGTACACACACATATACACACAAACACACAGCTGAGTTGCCAATGTTCTAATTCATGGGTACAACAGTCTGACTAAATTATGTAAACTGGCAATTAATATTTCATAGAATATGAGCATAGGAAAACACATCGCAAAATGTCCTGTCACTTCTAACTTCAACTTCTAACTTCAAATAAAAACACAGCTTCAGTGGAAAAATGTCTGCACGTACAGATCTGTAATCCAATTAGATTCACTTATGTTCTATCATAAGACAGGTTCTTTATTGAAAGGTGTGGGGAGGAATTTTATATCTCATTTGGCTCTACCAGTAAAGCCGGGGACATTTACTCATGCAAGCTAAATTCACCTAGCTGTTTACATGATGTAACGTTTCAAATGATATTTCTTCTTTATTGCTAATAAACCTGGAGAGTTATACCTATGACCACAATCCAGTGTCCCGATTCTCATATTAAGTTAGAGAACAGCCGTCTTATCTCTCTTGCTTCCCCACACGTTTGGTCTGTCAGTCGTACACGGACAGCATCTGCCGGGTCTTGCCCATCTTGACACCATTTTGAGAATGACAGCTGAGTGGGAGGGTGCTCAGATGATGACAGAAGAGGTTTCCAAAAATAGCCACAGTCCACCACAACTTTCTCTAGAAATAGCCACAAATGGATGTGAAAGTGAGGCATTTTTAATATATACTTATATATAATTTAAAAATCCTGCATTTGACTTGGGGAAAATCAAACCAACCTTTTTTTGTGACTGAGTGTTGTGATGTCTTCTGAGGTTTTTTTATTTTACTTGAAATTTTTAAAGTAGTGGCAGCAAATAAATGCAGATATCCAGACTGATACAGCCAAAGAAATCTCATCATAGCAGATTTTAATTGAAAGAAATGTGACAACAAAGCCTGAATCTGCTCAGTGCTGAAGGACAGCCTCAGCCAGACAGATTGCTACAAAGGGCTTGAATATAAGCAGAAGGATTTAACCTAAATCTCCGGGGCAGCACAGCTCCCATCATGCTCCATGTGATATGGCAGTACTTTCCTCATTCTGCTTTAATGACCTCTTAGCGTGCTCTTTGGTTGAAGTAATGCATCAGATTGTCTGTTTATATTTCCCATCGCTCTCCTCGGCATTCCTTCTACTGAATTTGCCTCCTCTGTATCCATGGTGTTGCCCGTACCCTAGACTGAGATTAAAATAGATTAAGCAGGGATTAGGTCATAAGATAAGCGGAGGGAGGGATGTATTCAATGAGTGTCTACATAGCCTGCTGCGTTACATTCTTCTTGTCAACAAAAACTGGTGTTGCCATTGTGTAAAGTTATTTAGGAGAAGCTGCACAAACTCTGTCCATTTCAGCGATCTTTCCATAAAAGCGGTGCAGATTCCATTGTCTGTGGGTCACTGTGCACCTGTGCAACTTGAAAAGGTGTGTCAGTGTGTGCTGCTGTGTGCGGCAGGCCCTGCTATGGTGAGGTGTGTCAGCGATGACGGATGTGGAGGCGACCTATGAGGACTTCATCACCTCTCGACGATCTGGCCGCAGGAATGCCATACATGATATTCCAGACGCTCCTGGAGAACCGGGCACCACTGATCTGTCGGAGAGTCTGGCACAGCTCAACATCAACAAGTCAGGTGAGCAACATGATGAAGAACGAGAACATATTTTGATGGCGACATTAATAATTCATCAGGGTAGCAACACATGGCCTCCACTCTACTTGTGTTGAGTTGAATTCTCTGGATTTTCCAACAGTGGAGAGGAAAATCAAGACTTCATAGCTTAGTTCTGCAGCGTGTTTGGGAATTGTAAATAGAGCTCAAAATCACAGAGCCACTAATCTTTGGCTCTCTTCCAAAGTGTGTCTTTTGTCCTGTCTCTCTCCTAGATGGCTGCCCCTGCCTTGGTCTAGTTCTACCGGAGGCTTCTTCCTGTTAAAGGGAAGTTTTTCCTTCCCACTGTCGCCAAGTGCTTCCTCAGTGCTTCCCCCCCCCCCCCCCCCTCCCCATGAGGAAGCACTTGGTTCCTCATGGCATTTGATTGTTGGTGTTTTGTCTCCATTATTGTGGGGTCTTTACTGTACAAAATAAAATGTCTTAGGATGATTGTTGTTCTGATTTCACACTATATAAATAAAATTTAATTGAAGTTCTTCAGTTACATTTTACATATATGTCTTCTTTGGTGACTTAGTAGCTGCATCACTGACTTCCCCCGTAGTTAAATGTGCATGAAACCGACTGTCCCACTGTCCTCTTTCTTCACTGTTTTCCAGGTGATGAGGGAGAAGATGCTGAGAAAAGCCGGAACTCTCCATCTAAAGAAGAGCAGACTCAAGCTGAGGGAAGCTAAGTGCCACCGGACATTTATGGACTCGAGCAGCCACTTCTTTTAGTCTATCTGCTCCCTGTATGCTAAGCCTCTGACTAGCCAGTTGCATCTAATGACTGTGAACAGCAAAATCTTCTATTGCCACTATCCTGCCATCAGGAAGTCATCACTATGGCAACCACAGCACAGTCTCTCTCTCGCTTGTAATTGGGTGTGTTCCATTTTCCTTAAAAACCTTCCTTCCTTTGCTGCCTTTTGTCCAAGGCTGCTGATATCAGATTGGATGTAATTTAAGGTGAACTAAACATGATGTCAACAACCAAAACCAGCCCACTTTTGACTGTGAGTGGTTTTGAGTGGAAAGTGGAGGGAGGAACGGAGGCTAGTAAAAGGTTTTTAGAGCAGCCACAGAATTAAAATTTGTCTTCCCCTCTCCTCGTCTCCTTCAATTAATCACCGCTGATGCGACTGAAACACAGACGGCAACTGGACATCCACTCATCTTGCCTCGACGCCTGAACACGTGCTCCCTTCATAAGTACTCGCTATTGACCTTTTCCTATTTCCATGGATTCGGATCCATCTGCGTATTGGATTGATGGACGTTATCCAGCAACTGCACTCAGCAGCTCAAAGGCCCTGTTGTACTTTGTTGCATGTATCCATGTTAGGTGTAATATCTAAATGTTTTTTGTTTTTTTTTTTTATCATTTCCGACATCCCATTTTAAGTATTACATTGATGGTCAAACTGGGTCCAGTTCTTTAAAAAAAGTAAGAGTCAGATCACAAGATATAAAGCTTTTTTTTTCCCCAAGTTAGGAACAGCAACATGTGCTGCTCGATCTGTCACAGGCAAAATGAGCGTCTGTTTAGTTTTGGTGGCTGGCTTCACTGCACCTTGCTTTACTCTTGCACACTGACCCATAACTTTGAGTTCACTATAACTATTCACTAGAATTTTGTTGTTTGCACTGCCAGGCCTCACAAATGAAGCCAGGGAGTACAAATGTGTCCCCCCTCCCCCCCAAAATTGTGGGTTTTTTAAACCATTTTTCTGCCAAGGCAATATTGTCTTTTGCTTTGCTAATTCAGGACCTGGACTACTTGCCATAATTGATGGAACCACAAATTCAACCCTTTACAAGAAAATACAGAAAGAGAACCTCTGCCCATCGATTTGTGGTCCAAACTTCAAGCACACTTGGGTTATTGAGTTGGACAGTGTTTCAAAACACACCAGCAAGTCCACCTCTGAATAGCTTGAAGTAACAAAATGAAGGTTTTGGACTACTATTGAGATGTTTTTCATTAAAAGCACTGTTCATGCTCATAAAACCCTCCACTGTGGCTGAATCAAAACAATTCTGCAGAAAAGAGTCACTCAATGTGAATAACTCTTTGCCAATACTTGCAAAACCTCTTGCCTGCAGTTCTTATTACCAAGGCTAGCACAACCATTTATTAGGCTTAGGGGTCATGTACTGTTTCACACAGGGCCAGGTAGGTTTGGATAGCTTTTTTCAATTAATAAAAGAAATCATCATTAAAAAAAAAGGCATTTTGTTTACACTCAGGTTATCTTTAGGAAAATACTTTTTAATGACACTGTAAACAATGAAATTGATTGGTTGGAAAGTAGGATTTCACCCTTACTGTACATCTTATACTTTAATAACTGGCCTCTCACTGTCTGCAAATGTGTCCAGTCTAACTTGTAATGGCCTTCAATGCAGGAGTTCTCTCCTTACATGCAGGGTATCTACACACATTAAGTGGTTATCCCACAGTTTAACATTGCACTGCCATGTATTATACCCAAGTTTGTAATTTGGTTGTGGTGGACATCAAGGAAAAACATTTATTTGCTACTTAAGATTTGGAAATTGCACTACTGATAGCACTGGAGTGTGGTTTATTAGCGTGTGCTGTATGTGTAAATTTTCGTAGATGAGACGACTGTTAGAATAAATATTATGTACTGGCACACTGCCTGTCAGTTTTGCAATTCCCTTTTGTAATCTGTTTTCACAGTTTCCTTTTAACACCATTACTGTACTCTGTCCAATTTAGATCTACTAATGAAATATGTGGGTATGCATCCTAAAAATGCTTTATTACTTTGTTATATCTGACCAGCTGATCATTTTGTTTCTTTGTTTAGTTACCTTCACAAAGGAGGTTATCTTTTTGCTACCGTTTCTAGTTATTTGTCAACAGGATTATGTATCTGCAGCTACCTGGATGATTTTCAGGAAACTTGGAGGTAACGTGGAGTATGGGCATATAGGAAGAAGCTGTAAAAATTGGGCGGGTGGACGGTGGTTGTAGTAAATCTTTAGTTTTAACCTGTTAAAGGGGATTAGTGCCATTTTATAGTGCATCATAGGACTAAGATAACTTGTACTTTGAGTCCAGTGTAATGTGATTTAATGGCCGGTACTGTTGCAGTTTCGGTGAGCTATAGAACTCAAGCTGTTGTTCCATTCTCACTATTATTTTCAGTATTTTATAAAAATTCTAGATTTAGTCACGTTATTGTGTTATCAGAGGCATTACTATGTAACATACTCATTTTTGACTTTGTCTATTTGGTTAGTTTTGATGTGCAATTAAATTTTACCAGTGAATTAATCGAAAGTGTCAAGACAAATTAATGCATCCTCAACAGAGAAGGCTCAATAAGCAAAGTCTTTGTCTCCCCCTGGTGGTCAATCTAAGCTATTCCATTCAACAACGGAAAGGCCCGATCACTGAGCGCTTCTGTTTTGTAATCGATATCAGACGATGTAGAACGATGCAATAGATAATGCAAGCATTCACAAGTCAGTGAGGTCATGTGCCGTTAGTTAAGGTCAGCTTGATAGAAAGATACTATGATGGCTAGCTCACGTGAAGGAATTGGTACTCTCCTATAATAGACCCACGCACTGTAAAAAGAAAAAGGAAAAAATGATGACTATGTTTCTCTTCCTGATTCGATTCTGATTAGTCAAGTGCTAGGCAGTAAACACGGTGGTTATTGACACGCATAAATTGCATTGACTTGACTCAAACCGACATGACCTTCTGCATACAGTGTAACAAAATTGAGCTGTATCATATGGTAATCAGAACAGTGAGGACTCATTTCACTGATACCAGAGTTGTTAATGTTGAAGATAAATGGTACATGCTGTAATAATGCAACAGAGCTGTATCTGTAATGACAGAGCAGCTGAGTGATTATTGTTGTTATAGGCCTTTGAAATGCTACAAGGCAACTTATGGGTGGAGCATTTTCTTCAGTTTTTCTCGATTACTTTCATTCAGTCTTTCTTCCTTGTTCTGATGCTCGGTTTGAACTTCAGCGTGCTGTCTTGACCATCTCTACATATCTAAATGTTTTGAGTTGCCGCTGATGTGAAAGGTTGATTAGATACTGTATTTGCATTACTGTGATTATTAGGTACGCCTGCTCCACTGCTAAAGTAGTTGCTAAATGTATTTAGAATGACTTATGTATACATTTCCTTATTTTTTTTTCTGATCCATTTAGTTTAATGAGTATTATGTTTGCTTTTCTGCATTTCATCACTTTTGTAAAGTAAAAAAAAAAACCTTCACAATTCATTTCTGTTTCAGAAAATATTTTCTTCTATATTAGGCCTATTTTGCTGATTTTTTTCAAAAGTAAGCAAGACTGTGAGAAAAAAAAACTAAATTTTTTGATGTTTAAGTCTTCAAAGGCTTGTGAAAGTTGTTTATTCGTTCATCACACAGTTAAAGTGACTGACTGTTAATGTTTTGGCAAATGTGAAAAATCCCTTAATTTTTTTGAGAAATACGAGACTAGTGAGAGTGACTTTCCTGCTGTGAGAATGGCACCAGATTGATTGAGAAACAGTATGATGTATGAAAAGATGAATAATGGATGTTGTAAGGTTTTTATCGTGATGATGTTCGAAAAAGTGTCGGCCTAAATTAAAAGTGAAGAATTTCTTTGAAACTTTAGAAAACTGCTGAAATCGAGAAATGCTAAATGATATACGTGAAAGTATAAGCATTAGCAAACAGGAAATGGAAATATATACTATGAGAGAACATTCAGCAACCACTTTTGCATCTGCTCAGCTGCTTGTTAATACAATTATCTAATGAGCCAATCACATTTCAGTAATCCAAAACGTTAAGTCATGTAGATGTGATAAAGACATCCTGCTGAAGTTCAAGCTGAATGAATGAGGACGAAAGGTGAGTGAATATGTCTGAGTATGTCCAAAACTACTGATCTACTGGGGTTTTCCCACAAAACGATCTCTATGGAGGGATGATTATACAGAGAATGCTCCGAAAAAGAAAAAAAACCTTCTTGCATCTCTGAACGCACAATCTAGCTGACTGTGCTGCACATGGTCTGCAGCAGCAGAAGACCACACTAGGCTCCACTCCTGTCATGTAAGAACAACAAACTGAGATTACATCTCGCGCTGACTCATCAAAATTGGACAATAAAAGGTTGGAAAAAATCTCAGAATAATATAATAATAATGCAGCGTGCACAAAAACAACGACAAAGGTGCTGTTGTGGGTGGGAAGTGTCACGAGTAGTGAGACTGATAATTCTGATGTGAGAATTGCACCAGAGCGATTGCGAAACGCTGTACCTTGAAACACAACAATCATATTTCACACGGGAACAATTGTTTACCATAAATGTTTACCTAAATCTATAACCCTATGCCTAATTGAATGGACTTTACTCCTTTGATAACTTATCTGAGATTTCTATATCTTCAGAAACAAGTAACACTGTGTCATGAAGGCTGTATTTGCTCAGAGACCTTGACCTTGTGTACAGCCACACTGTGTTAACATAACTCTTCTCCATGACACCACAAATATGGAGCATTGGTTGGATTTATTCTTGTAATATCAGTAACATTGTAACATTACAGTACGTGTTTTGTTTAAATGACGAGGTTAACTTTATACCATATACCAGTGATAATACAATGAAATGGCTTACGATACATGCTTGTGCCACATGTGCTACTGTGGCACAGTTCCCTTTCTTTATTTTAAACTTTTATTTTCAATGTGGGATGAAAAATCCATGCATGTCCTTGTTCAGCTCAGTATTCACATAGGCTCGTGCTACTTCCTTGAACGTTTTCCCATCGAGAATCAGGATGAAGCTCGACTGGCCTGGATTGTAGTTGATGACTGATGTTAGGACCACACCTGCAAATGGAGAAGGAGGTTATTGTATCACAACTTTGTCAACACAGATTACAGGCACAGATAAGTGGGGGGAGATCTGGTCTAATCTTTGTAGACCTTCTTATTGACTTGAACTTCAACTTGTCAATAGAAGCAAATACAGAATAAATGTCACGTCTTTGCACACCACATTCACTTGTATTCATACCATCATCTTCCGACTCTCCGTTTGGTCTGGGGATGAACACCGGCTCCGACGGCAAGCACTTGTCTTCATCCCAGTACACCATATTCTTGGTTTCCATGTCAAACTTTGCAACCTACAGTGAGTGAACAGATGAAACACACTCAACAAAGACGTCCATGCAGGTCAGAAGTTATTTACAGACACAGAAATACCAATACACAACACAGCACAACCGGCTTATCAGCCCGTTTAGTACTTTGTTCTGTGTGCAAATATTAGAAAGAGCAGTAAAATTCTCATATCACATG